TATCTCGTCAACGCAGCGAACGCCTTGACCTTCGGACTTATGGTAGTCTCTTGCTTCTTCAGTAGTGTTATCGTGCGATTCATCGGCATCAAATGGACACTCATCGTGGGAACAATGGGATTCGCACCATACGCAGCAGGGCTATACACGAACAACCGATTTCATCAAGAATGGCTGGTCATTCTGGGCGCGGCGCTTTGCGGCATCTCAGCGGGCATCTTTTGGATGGCAGAGGCAGCAATTGCGCTTTCATATCCCGAGCCATACAACCAGGGGCGCTTCTTGGGATTCTGGCTTAGCTTTCGTGTTGGAGGTCAAATACTCGGTGGTGCCATCAGCCTCGGCATCAACGCCAATCGTTCGACCTCGGGCTCTATCTCATATACTGTCTATCTGATCTTCATTGCGCTGCAGGCTCTTGGTCCATTTGCTGGTCTACTTTTGAGCAATCCATCTCAGGTGCAGCGAAAAGATGGTATCCCTGTTCAACTTCAGGTGACGAATAGCATCGGATACGAGCTGAAGAGCATGTCAAAGCTTTGGATCAGTCGCAAGTTTCTATACATTATTCCCTTCATCTGCCAGGCTGTTTATGCTGAGGCTGTCATGTTTTCGTACGAGGGATTGTGGTTCTCAGTACGAGCCAGAGCTCTCGGGTCATTCCTTTCCGGTGTGATTGCTTTAATCATCGGCAACCTTCTTGGAGCATTCCTTGATACCAAGCGGATATCTCTGAAAAAGAGAAGTCGATACGCATTTTTCTTCGTCGTCGGGTGGCAGGGCATGTGCTGGATCTGGGCTTCAGTTCTGACAACCGAGTTCAACAAGACACAGCCGATATATGACTGGACTGACCCAGGTTTTGGAAGAGCATTCACCCTCTTTCTGCTCTGGATTGCTGGCTTCCAGCTCAACTATATGTATCTGTAAGCTGAATCATGAGAGGTGACGGTTCATGGAGATTTTGCTGATTGATTAGGTTTTTCTTGGTGGGCAACCTTGCGGATGATCAAGAAGAGGTCGTTCGAATTGCGGGCTTGTTGCGTGGGACTGAATCCGCCGCTCAGTGTGTCAGCGTATGTACTCCTCCAGGGCTATTATCTCAATTATCTGCAAACATGAATACTAACGAGGTGTCTCCAGTATGGCCTAAGTAGCGTCAAAGTCATGGCCGCAGTGGGTAGTATATACCTCAATTTTGGCTTGTGGGCCATCGCGATATTTCCTGCCTGGCTCATTGTCAAGCAGGTCGGAGAAGCCTTCGGGGATAAAAAGATCGCGCGAGAGACTCCCGGTTTGCGCGAGCCTTCGGAGGATGAGTGAGTGACATGAACAAGAGTTCAAATACTAGCGCAAGGATATTTTAATTTAGACTTTACGGGGAGCATCCCCGTGTCGGTGTTATAAATATATACATTGAAAAGGATGATTCGTCTATTATAAGCCACTCCCAGGATGTTTGTAACCCAAGGCACTTTTAAAGCTATGCGATAAAACCGAATTCCCGGTTATCATGGTGAAACACGAGCAACGCAAGGCGATGTCGTACAAACAGACCGAGCATGCCACAGACAGTTTGTACTGCAACCATGTGCCACGCCAGTTGGTCTTCTCGCATTGGACCCATCCACACCAGCCAAAGATTCAAGATAGTGAGATTACTCGATTCAGTAATTCGACCATTCTTGTCTTGGGTAATTCGCACCAGTCTCAAGGCGTGTAACAAGCGTAGCGCAGTATCGACCAAAGGCGACGGGGGACTCGTCCACTCCGCGACAGAAGCGTCCAGTAACCCAGTGGAAGGGCTGAACTTTGGCAATCGATGGCGAGGACAAGGAATGAGCTTGAATAGCTGGGGGGTTGAGTACAGAAAATTGAAGATCTGCGGAATGAATAGTAGCAGCAGGGTTTTGCTGAAATGCCCTAGGATACCAACCACGGCAAACACCATTCCTGCGAAATAGCAGTATGTGTCGCCCACAAACACCTTCGATGGATACCAGTTATGGTATAGAAGGGCTGCCGATACACCGATAAATGGCAGCAGGAAGTATATCGATAGCAAGTGCGAGTCAGTGGCAGGGTGCGGATATGGTGTCATAGGTGCAAGGTATAGCGCATCATTGAATAGTAATTGAACCGCAATTACTAGCGACTGAGCGACCTCGATGCCGTTAATGCCTGCCAGCATGTTGATCGCATTTGGACAGAAGATTGCCACCGCTGCCATATACATGTAGTACAGCCACCCAAGATCAACGATATCACCCAAGTATGGTTGCAACGGTACCGGCACGACCACTTGCGTGACGCCAAAGTCAACAAAGTACACAATTAGCATGGGAATTGCGGAGAAAGCGGGAATCAAGACTTTGTGTCTCCAGCGAATATCGAACAAGTCATCACCGATCCCGAGAATCACGACGGACTGCAAAGACAAAAGACCAGAAAGGTAAGAGGCGAGCTATTCAATCGCACGTTAGGTCGAGGCCTGCTTCAGTAAATAAAAAAATCAAGACTCACCTTGCCATGCGGAAATCGATGAAGGAATCGGCCGTTCTCGATATGTTGCGATTCAATCACAACATCACGGTTTCCGCCGCCCGATGTGGCTGCAACGATATCCTTGTAAAAGGCAAATGGAATGAACATGATGAGCGACATCAGATATACCACTGCACAGACTACCCCCATAGTTTCAGGTCTAGGTCAAAATATTAGTACATGCTGTGATCTCAAGTTCAAGGCCATATACATACATTTCGGGCCGACTGGGCTTTGCCATATCTTTGCCCCTAAGACCTGCCTTCAGAAAGACAGGTCCGAGCCACCTGATCAGACTAAAAGCCACAGCAAACACTATACCACATAGCGCAATTGAAGCAATTAAAGGTGCCCCATCGCCTTGGAACGTGGCGTTGAGTATCGCTAGACCGGCCCCCACGAGAGCTAGTAGACGCCAAGTCTCCTTACGAGAGAGGGTGCTTGAGGTATTCATGGCGGACATATGACCGAGATGGCAGGAACAAGGTCCCACTGCTGCGAAGAGAAATCCACAAGGAATTGACCTATGCAAGAGGCAATATCCACCTCGGCGACGCGCAATCTGTCTTCATTCTTGGAATAGTCGATAAGCTTATCGCGTTCTGCCAGACTTATCTGACCGCTAAACCTAGCGGTGAGATAGTATCCCGTGATGCTTGCGACCAAACAAGGTAAAAGGCGACGTCAACCATCTGTTTCATACCTCATGCGTGCAGATGCATAAAATTCAAATCGTCATTGGCCCAGCTATTTAATTCGTCAATCTCATAGTCCAGTCCGTTTCGATGGGGGCAGTGGAGCGCCCCGAGATAACGGCCGGATTTGCCGACTTCGACGCCGGCCATCGGGATCTTGTTACTGTCACCAGATTTAACTTCTATGGCAATCGCATTATCACCGCTTCCTCTGATCACCGCATGAAAGTTTGGGATCTCAAGGATGGCCAATGGCAACTGGTAGACACCTGGCGCGCGCACGATGCTGAGATTCGCGATGTATGTCCCCAAACAAGCTAGAGCGCAATCCCGCCATTGCGGCTCGTGTGCTAAACTACTATTTTAGGCCACGTGGAATGGCCCTTTCACAGGCCAACATATTGGCAGTGTTGGAGAGGACATGAAATTGAAGATTTGGCAAGAAGATGTAACCCAGCCACCAAACTCAGGACGGCGTTTCAGGTCGATCTTTCGCATGACTGCACCACAAAGACACCCATTTGTATCACTCGACTTTCGGAACATTGACCTGGAGTCGTGGCTGGCCGTAATAACACGCGATGGCTACCTGATGATCATGGAACCCGTCAGCCCCGATAGCCTTGCAGATTGGCAGACTGTTGACCAGTTCCGGGTATGCACCGCCCCCGAACGCGGGGAGGAAACAAGTTTCAAAGTCCAGTTTCACCATGATCCTACCGACATTACTCACACTATCTTGCCGGAGTCCGACCGGAAGAGCCTGTCGCTCATTGTGGCTGCCATGGACACCGTCAAGATCTATCGCACTGACGCAAACCGACGATTCTACCATGCAATCGAACTGAATGGGCACAGCGGTCTTGTGAGAGATATTTCCTGGGCCAATGGTTCTGTACGTGGCTATGATCTTATTGCGAGCGGCGGCAAGGATGGTTTTGTCCGCATCTTTGAAGTGTACACAATGCCAGCTAGCCAAGCACCACAGACTAGCGGCCGGAAGACAGAACGTCGCATGCACTCACAGTCCCAGTCCCCGTCGCAGTCGCAGCCACAGTCCCAGTCATCGTCGATCCGAGCGACATCACAGTCCGGGATCGGATCTGCTCTAGCCAACCGTGTTCCTGCATCGGTAACTGATCGCCAGGCCAACGGAGATTCACAGTTTCGTCACTCCTTCAAACAGGTGGCTTGCATTGACACCAAACACCTCGATGTGTGGCAGGTTCAATTCTCCTTCTCTGGTTAGTATTTCCCTGCTTTATTCATAACGCTCGGTTCTTTTTCGTTAATGCATTGTCAGGTGACTCCTTGATTTCCTCCGGAGACGATGGAACAGTTCGATTCTGGAAAAGATCTTTGTCTGGAGAATGGCTCGAGTTCGCCGAAACAGACTTGGCTTCTCAGTGAACTTCTCCTTCCAAGCACTGGAAGAAATTATCGGAAATTCTTGAGGAATGCCCGATATTTGTATCTCTTGAATCCTTTTTCCTTGACAATCAATGATACCCTTTACATTTCATTTCTGCATACTCCTATAATATCATTAGGTAGTATTTCTGACACTAATTAGTTGAATTCAAGGCTGGTGTTTTTGTTTCGAACTATCTCTATTACACGAGGAAGGAGCGATGTTGGGAGATGCCGTAGTTGGTCACTTGACAATTTCCTCTCGAGCCCCAGGGACGAAACCACTATCAACCTTCTACGCTCGTTCCCCATAACCCTTCATTATCTATACATACTCATTGTTAGTCCACCATGGCTATCGGTCCGACCATTGGCACCGGCTTGTTCATCGGCGCGGGCCAGGCCCTCGCGGACGGCGGACCTGCCTCACTGCTCATATCATATATACTCCTATCCTTTCTAACCTTGGCCACGACCACAAGCGTGGCCGAGGTATCCACTCACATGCCATCACAGCATGGGACACTCGTTACCAATGGTTACGTATACATGTCAAGCAGTCTGGCATTTGCTTCAGCATACCTTCGCTGGTATACCCTCGCTTTGTTCGTTCCATACGAACTCACATCGGCGATGGTCAACCTTGGCCTATGGAAACCAGGTTCTGCAGTCGCAATCAGATTGGTTATCCTCACGATCATCGTTGTTGGAACCAACTTCCTGCCGGACAGGATCTTCAAAAGCTCCGAGCGATTGTTCACTGGCATCAAGATTGGCACAATGGCGTCCCTCTTCGTCTTCTCCCTGGCTTTGGGTCTTGGAGGTGTGGGTGTGCAGCCCCCATGGGGATTCAAATACTGGAAACACCCAGGCGCCATGAATGAGTATCTAGCCCGAGGTCTATGGGGACGAGTCTTGGCTTTCTTCCAATGCCTTCTCGATGGCTCCATTGCTTTCACATTTGCTCCTGAGCTCATTGTGCATCGAGCAGAATTGCCAGCATCACTTGTGCCGGCATCACTTCTTGAAACAGAGATGCTAAGCGCCAGCATCCCAGGTAGAGTCACAGCGGACGTTGCTCAAACTGCATTCCCATATATCCTGAGCTCCTTGGCCATGGGCGTCATGGCTCCTTTCAATGATACGCGTTTGACGAACAACGGAACGGGCCCTGGGTTTTCTCCTTACCTGATCGGTCTCAAAAATGCAAATGTTCAAATTGTACCTACTATCGCGACGATCGCAATCCTGCTCTCCGCGGTTGCTTCTGGGCGATCCTTTTTGTATCTCTCCTCTCGCACCCTTTGTGCAATGTCGGAGCTCGGCCATGCGCCCTCGGTATTTTCCAACCGTAACCGTTGGAATGTTCCATATTTTGCCGTTGTGGCGTCTGCTTTGTTCTCCTCTCTTGCCTTTGTCTCAGTGAGAGTGTCGAGTCCAATCATGAACACCTATCTCCTTCGACTCGTCACAAGCGCCGGTTCTATTTCCTCACTTGTGTCATGCATCATCTACCGTCGCTTTGATCGACGACTCAAAAGGAGCGGAATCGCCAGGCGGTATAGTTTCTCTTTACAACCATTTGGCACATATTTCGGGATGTTCATCAGCACTCTACTGCTACTAGGCGGCGGGTTGTGGGCAGGGCCAAAGGAAAATCTGCTTGGGACCCGAAGAGCCAGACTGATCATCTCGTATATCAATATCGCGGTATTCATCCTCCTGTTCTTGTTCCGTCGATTCCAAGACTTTGTGCCCGTTGTTGAACTTGAAAGACACTTTGATATGGGTGGAGGAACTCGGACAAAGAAAACGAGCCCGCCTCAGACGAATGTTGATGCAACCCCAGGGGGCCGGGCGGCGATTGAATTGCGACTCAGCCAGACCGTGATCACCGAGGCCTAAGTGTACCTGAATAATACGCCGATGGAGAGGTGAGGGTACAAATGAGATGGTATAGAAGTTGAATCGGCTTGCCCTTGTCTGTTATTATTAATTAGTCGTTCGTTTCAAGTCAATTCGGTTAATTCAATACGTTTATTGTTTAATATCATTTCCAAATAGAAGTGTAAAAGTAGAGCTACTACTATGTACTATATATAGTCCGGGAGAGAAATACAATACCGAAACCGGACAATTTGAATTTACTTTTTCTTTGTGGCGAAATGGCGCCAAATCATAACGGAATCTCCTACAAGCCCCCCCTTTTACCACTTCGGAACCCCCAAAACATCCTTTTTCCCTTTCCCGTTTTCATGTTATATTGTCGTACAAGAGCAGATGACCGTTGCCCCTCTTTGAAACTTCCTTCTCCTCCGATCTCTCCCAAGCATTTTTCACCCGTTTTTCCCCATGTTACTTTTTACTCATACTTCCCCTTATACTGAGATACTTCGCTAACCTCACCCCCTCATTTCCAACTAATACTCGTAGGTAGCCTATATCGCCATTCTTACATTCCCACGGATTTCTTTCCCGAGCTGAGGAATTTCTTTGTCCTCCCTCAGAGAAATCCCCGTTTTCTATGAGTTAAAGGATGAGCGGAATCACAGTCCCTGGGATTTTTTTCAGCACATTCAAGACCCATACCATTTTTTTGGGATCTTGCTCACTTTGATAGTGATATCTCGCTTCACTGCATGAGCATGCCTGGCTTTCATTATAGCCCAGTGGAAGGGCCAATAGGACCCTCGATTCATTTTGAACTGAGGGTATAGCTATCCTTTTTTTTCATATCAGTTTTCCTACTCATCCATCTAGATGCTAACCATCCTTATACGGGATGCCTAGGGCATCCAATGACATTCCCGTGACTTTCTCCACTGCATTGAATGACGCTAGTCTTTGTTTAGACTAGTGTATCCCCCCCGGGCTGGAAACGGTTTTTGCATACAAAATTACCATACCGGTAATGTTGGAATTCGAACAATTGCCAGGAATTTGCCCAGTGTCCAAAGGAAAAAAAAAAAAAAACGAGCCCTTGTTTTCGGGTTCCTCGAAGCCCTTTGGTTCCAAGTCTCAAAACAGCGCTAATCCCCTTTCACTCTCCACACACTTGGTCCCTCTGCCTACCCGGACGGCCCATTCTCTGCCTTAGGCCCGTAGCCTCCTCCTTCCTCTGCCTCCAGTTCCTCAAACTCACTCTCTTTTTCCTCTCCTTTCCCCTACCCTCTCTTTTTCGCGCTTTTCTTCCTTTCTTCCTTCCTTTCTCTCCTTTTTAACATTTGCGCCAACTTCTTTTAATCTCTTTTGATTATCGATTCTCCCACTTCCTCCCCCCCTTTCGGTTCCTTCTTGTGACCGCACCGTCTTCGACCCTATAACGCGTCCACTATCCAAGGAGACGGGATTGGAAGGCTATACGACCACGAGAAAAATTGATATGCGACTTGAACAGTGACAGCTTGGCTACGCCTCTGTCGAGAAAACATCATTTTGTCTTCGCCTGAGAGGGGGTTATCTGTCGGCGATGACAGATACCTCCTCACTCGCCATCACGCACGCCACAACGGATTCCTATCCGGTCCACGCCCATCGCGGCTCCTCTGCCGCCGTCGACGCCGCCTCTGACTCCGGCGCACCCGATGAAGAACCTTACACCATCAAATGCATTTGCTCGTTCGATGAAGATGATGGCAACACGGTCTTCTGCGAAGGGTGCGAGACATGGCAGCATATCCTCTGCTACTATCCAGACAAAAAAGTACCAGATGTGCACAACTGTGTCGACTGCGAGCCACGGCCCCTTGACAACCGTCGCGCCAACGAACGACAGCGGGTGCGGCGGATGCGGGAGAAAAGCGAGGACGGTGACCGGAAATCAAGACGATCTGGCCCCAAAACACAAAAGAGGAAGTCCAATGATGCCGATGTGAATACTTTTGGTCATAGACGACACGATTCGGGTTCTCGTGAGCAGCCACCGCCCAAGAAAGCAAGGGTGTCTCGCCGCCCTTCCGCTTCAATAAGTGGTATTTCGGTTCCACCGGGTCTGTCGACTGAATCACGAACCCGTCGATCCTCCACCTCTGTTGCGACGAGCCCAACAGGCATCCCTGGCCCTCCTATACCTCATTATTCCGACGAATTTCTCTCTCTTTACGACCGTGATGATCTGTTTGTTGAATCGAAGAGTATACTCAATTACGGCGTCGATTTTGTCAATGAAATTGTCGCATGGCTGAAGGACCCACAGATCTTGGCGCGAGTTGCCGATGGACTCAGTGTTGAAGACTTCGCCAAACGGTCCGAAGAGGCCATGGATCGGTCTCGCTGGCCCTCATTGACAACGGAAACTATCACAGACTCGACAATTGAGATCGGTGGTAGGCACCCAACTCACAAGATCCTGAAAACACAGGATCCAGTTCGAAAGGACGACATTGTCGGTGAAATATTTGGCAAGCTAGGCCACGTCAAAGACTACAAAAAGCTCGACACCAACCGATGGGAGGAATTAGGGCACGCCATGCCTTTCGTGTTCTTCAACCGGCAATTGGACTTGTACATCGACAGCCGTCAGGAAGGAAACGAGCTCCGCTATGTCAGACGGTCATGCGATGCCAACGTTTGGTTAAAAATATACATTACCAATGGCCGACAGTACCATTTCTGTTTCGTCGCTAAAAGAGACATTCCACCCGGCTCCGAAATTACTACCATGTGGCATTTCGACGAATCTTTCTTTCCTTGCGACGCCACAGTAAAGGAGGAGTTCAAGGACAGGGTGGTAGATCCGAAGGATGCCGCTATTTCCATCAGCACGACGCTGGCCAACTTTGGTGGCTGTGCTTGTGGAAATCCTCAAACTTGCGTCCTGAACAAACTTGATCGTCGCGCCAAGCCCCCTGGGAACAAGCGCGTTAAGGCGAGACTGAAGGGCAAGGGCAAGAAGTCAAAATCTCTCGGTCCTTCCGCTGATACCGGTCGCGCCGGCAGCGAGACCATGAAGCATCCCGACGAGCATGACCCCGCAGCCGACGCCCGATCAACTTCTAGTTCCGCGCGTGGTCGACATACTGGCAGTCGCGATCTTAGCCCCACGGCCCAGCTAACACTGCCAGAGCTCTCCAGTCGCGAGAGACGCAAGATAGCAGATGCCGAAAAGCAATTCCAACAGCTAGAGCAGCTTAGAACGGCCAATCCCAAAAGAAAAAAACGTTCTATTGGCCCTCAGTCACGATCTACCCCTGCCACAGTCTCGAGCTCAACCCAAACTGATGACGACTTCAAACCTTACCACGAGCCAGGCCCGCCTCGATCCTCTGAAATGACAGGACAACAATCCCGGCGTCAGGTTGCTTATGTCGACGCTCAAACTGAACTTTACGCCGATGACGTTGAGCGCTCGTTCTTACACGCAGAACGTCTAAGGCGAGGATACAAACTCGATATGATTCACCCGTCAGTAATGCTCAAGATTCGGTGGTCTGCGGGACATCACATCGGGGAGGACTGGGCTCAGCGAAATGCATGGGAGGCTGGCGACCTCAGTGTCGTGCCGTCTGGGGTTCTTCCCTGGTGGTACGGGTGGTTCCCGCTCCCAATCGACGACAGGCCTCATATCGAGTTGCTCAGGGAAGATTCCGACAGAATGGGAATTCCTGCTGATCATGGACCCCTTGCGATGCCCCCTCGGTGGTCTTTCCGCCAGTCCAAGTATCATCAGCCTGCAATGAAATATCATGGCATTGTGATTAGAGGAATGCATTACGACCCTCCGACGCGACTCATCCCGGGTGACGTTGATAGTCGGGGTGCTGCACTCTCTTACAAACCGGAGTCCTCTGCGTCTGGATCTAGCAATGATCCACTCAAGTCACCAATTCTGCCTTATTGGCCATCTATTGCAGCGCATAGCTTTAGGATTCCTGGGGCTGCCGCTCGTGGCAGTCTGCATGTTTTCATGCCCCCACCAAAGGCTTCGAATATCCAGTCAGCGCTTAGTCCTAGTTCCATGTCGCCAGGAAGTCTCGCATCACCCAGTTCTCATGACACATCTTCCCCAATTTCTCTCGCGCCATCTGCTGGTTCTGCACTTGCAGCCACCCCTGCCAAGAAGAAACTCAGTCTTGGTGATTATCTGATTCGACGTGGCACAATGACGACCACCCCAACCTCGGAACCGGCTCCTGCCCCAGCTCCTGGCCCCCCTCCTGGCGATCCTCGTCTACAAACCCAACATTTCCTGGCCATCACAACAGTGTTTGGTGATAATCATAAACCTCCCCACAAAGCTGAAGGAGGCGACAAGAACGGGCCTGACCCTATGGATATTTCTATGGAGGACGCACCAGAGACAACACCCACCAACAACCCGTCTATTTCTTCGTAATACGACCATCCGCGTGGCAGTAATGGTGGGCCTGTGATAAAAGGGAAAATTCCGCCGTGGATTTAACGTTTTTTACGACCCAAAATTTCTTTTCTCGTGTGATTTCATCTCGATACCTTACAGCAAGGCGGGCACAGGCGTTTGGACTACTTTCAGCTCTTTCTTTTCTTTTTTGCCTAATGTGCCGGCTTCTTTTATTTTTATCTTTTTTTCTCCGGCTTTCGGACTTTGGATGGCGTATGGCGTGGGATTGGTTCTCGGTTATGGGAAATACCATTTGGGTCAGGGTCTTTGAGAATTGTGTCTGCCTGAATTGCAGCACTTGATCTTTCACGATTTGTCCAGTTTAATCTTGGATATGTATGGCCTCATTTTTTTTGAGACGGGGCTAGATAGCTTGTATGAACAATGTAACTTTTGCCTGTTTTAATTCCAATGTTGGGTATAGATCGGCATATCTTGACATGGCACTGCATTGTCTATCCCAATCAAATTCAGGCTTGAATTCGACTATGCGAGATGATAGGCTGATAGCAGATGACTCAATCATCGCGAGGGGAAATCCTTCCAACCCCTCGCTCCTTCTTTTGTCTGCTATTCCATCTTAATTTCATATCTAATGCTTGTGCCATTGATCCTAGTGCAAGATGAACAATTCTAATCGAAGCCTCGCACTGGACGAGATACATCCTCGCAGATCTACAGAAGTATCCGAGATCGAGCAACCCACGCTTGCTCCAGCAGATGGAGGCAGGGCCGCATGGCTGATGTTGGCTTCATGCTGCTTCATCCAGATACCAGTCTGGGGTCTGTCGTGACTGAACAAAAACTGCATGCAAATACTGACGACCATCTAGGATTCGCTACTGTCTTCGGTGTCTTTCAAGAGTACTACTCAACACATGACGTCCTACAGGGAAGCAAGAATGACCTGGCGACTGTTGGAACTACGTCGACTGTATGCAAAGGATAAACGACGCCGGTAGTCTCGTCTAATGATTTATAGGGACTTCTTTATCTTCTCTCGCCTGTCACTTTCACGCTTTTAACGAGATACCCGCATCTACAATACTATTGTGCACCCGCGGGCCTGGTTATCACAGTGATAGGATCTCTATTATCCTCATTCTCGGTGCAGGTTTGGCATTTGATTGCCACGCAGGGTATCATGTGTGCCATTGGGAATGGGCTCTTATTCAGCCCGTCTTCCTTGTACCTTGATCAGTGGTTCTTGCGTCGGAAGGGCCTTGCTCTTGGAACTATGTGGGCTGCAAAGAGTATTGTTGGAGTTGCCTTGCCTTTCATTGCTAGTACTTGTCTGAATAAGTTTGGCTCCAGTACTACACTGAGGGCTTGGACTGTCGTTACGGTATGAGCCAGCTCTTTCCTTGAATCGGTTGAAGTATAAGACGTCGTGTCTTGCGTTCAAATTGATACTAAACCATCGGGTTATCAATGATCTTCACGTTCTCAAGCTACAGCTGACAAAAGTCTGACTTGGAAATCTAGCTGATAACCACCCTCATGGCCTTGCCATTCATGAAACCCCGTATCCCAATATCGCAATCTACTTCAGCGCGCCGCTTGGATCTAAGCTTCCTTAAGCAAACCACATTCTGGATGCTAGAAATAGGGAACATTATCCAGAGTTTTGGATATTTCTTACCAACTACATTCCTCCCTTCCTTTTCGACAACGACTGTCGGCTTATCCCAGAACACTGGTACAATGCTGGTCTCGTTATTCAACGCAACATCTATCATTGGTGGGATAGCCTTGGGAGTACTCTGTGACCGGTTCTCCGTGACAAACGTTATGCTTCTATCCTCAGTTGGCTCGGCGTTATCAGTCCTTTTATTCTGGGGTATGGTATCATCGCCAGGCTCAGAATCGTCACAAACAGCCATTGCCCTTCTTGTTATCTTCTCCATTACATATGGCTTCTTTGCCGGTGGGTTCAGCTCCACCTGGTCTGGGGTTATTACTCAGATAAAGCGTGACTCGTCACCATCCCTGGACACTGGACTTATATTTGGTCTTCTTGCTGGTGGACGAGGCATTGGAAATGTGATTAGTGGACCGCTAAGTACGGTGTTGCTCCAGTCGGGGTCTTTGGGGGATTCAAGTGGTGGTGGTAGTACGGGATACGAAACACAGTATGGGACACTGATTCTATTTACTGGAATTACAGCCATTTTCGGTGCATGGAGCTGGATGTGGCGGTATATCAGCCCTGCACTGCGGTGTCTCTGTTGATCGTCTGGAGCAACGTTGAAGTATGTGAGCAGAGAATAGGCAGCGGCGGTTGTTCGTGCATAGTCAAGGGATGACGAAGACAAGTGGTGGTGGATGTAATGAAATGACAGCTATTTATGAAAATGTTTTTATTAAGGCCAATGCTTTTTTTTTTTGGTGAAGTAAAAGGTCAGACTTGAAATGGACTGGCGATACCATGTCACGTGCAGTCTGCGGAGCTTCAACTCCAAATGCGCGTTCTTCAATCCCAGCCTCGACAACTTTCTTACATATAACTGCTGCAACCAAGGGCCACTGCCCTATCTACAACAATGGCAACCGATGCCGCGCTCCAAGATCCTCTGCTCTCACTGCGACGTGCGATTGCATCTGGCAATCTCCCAACGCCGACAACCTCGTCTGAGCTCTCCGACCAATCTACCACAGACGACCTAGCCAAAGCCACACATCTCTACTTCGCTCAACCATCTCCTCGGACAATTGCCCTATCAACACTCACACGATTCATTTCGGCATCTACCAAATCCCCTGTTGACCTGCGCAGTATCCTTTTCGCCTGGCAGAACAAAGATGTCGCCATTCCCGAGTACATCGCCAAGGCGCAGGAATTCAACGAGGCATTAAAACAGCAGACAAAAGAGGGTGAGAAGGAGGAAAGTGTCCAGATTCTTATCTTCCTCGAGCGTCTTGACCTTTTCACCTGGCTAGAGGGTGCCTCCGACGACAGCGAACATATCAAACCCCTCGAGGGTGCTGCTGCCGCAGCTGAAGCAGCCGCCTCAGCTGCAGGCGCTGCGCAGGCTGATAATGCGGCCGGAATCGCCGCTGGTGCAATTGGCGGCGTGACCTCCGTCCCCAGTGGAGCCGCAGGAGCAGCCCAGCCAGGAACTCAACTTGGCCGCCCACAAAAGCAGATTGACCCTCGACTACAGGAGATTTACAATGGCGAGCGCAAGATCGGTGACCGCAATACAGTGCTACGTGGAATTAAGCCGACGGTGAGTTCCTCTAAACAGCAAGCGATAGACTCAAGCTAACCCCGACTGCCAAGGACTTCTCACACGTCCGCAAGAGCGCCGAATTATTCCTCGACCGCAACCGCAGTCGACCGGGCCAGCCAAGCGCCAAACCAGGCATCAAGGGTTCCATCCCAGCCCCATCAGCTGGTCTCTCGATGGTCCCATCGCGCAAGTCGAGCTCCTCCCACTCCCGCCCCGACCCAATCATCCTAATCTCACCCTCCGCCTCATCCCTCATCCGCATGTCGAACGTCAAATCCTTCCTCGAAGAAGGTATCTTCGTGCCACCGGACCACCCAACCCTCTCAGGCGCCACAGACGCCAACCTCGTGAAGCTAGAGCGCCCGCTCCGTCTCAACGGCGACGCCTCAAACCCAAGCGCGATCTCAAGCTCCCGCGCCGGAAAGCCAACACGTCCAACCAAGTTCATCGTCGTCGACGGCACAACCAACTTCAAACCCGAATACTGGAACAGACTCGTCGCTGTCTTCACTACTGGCCAGACCTGGCAGTTCAAGTCGTACAAGTGGTCTTCGCCGCCGGAGCTGTTCAAGCATGCTACCGGTGTGTATGTCGGGTGGCGCGGCGAGGACGTCCCTGCCCAGGTTAAGGGCTGGGGTCGTGGCGTTGAGACATATGCTGTTGAGCGTTGGGACGAGAAGAATGGTGTTCACGGTGGTGGACGCTGGCGGGATCGTGAAGTTGTTGAGGGTATTTGGACTGCTATTGAGGAGGGTATGAGACTTCGTGGCTGGGGAACTAAGTAGACTTTTTTCTTCTTTTTTTTGGTCTCGGTTCTTTCCTGTCATCTTCTATCTCAATACCCTCAATTTCCCAAGAATATGATGACCATCGGCATTAAGGCGCAGTTCTAGGCGTTGTGGTTATCTTTTTCCTATTCAAGTTCTATGTGTATGTACTCTCAAAACATTAGATTCATTTGCAAGTTCAATATGGACGTATTAGAATTCGTAGGCACCATTTACTTGGAAGAGATGAGAATATAAGATCGTGTCCATTGCAATTCACAATGAAAGAATAATACACAAGCAGACCAGAACTCACTCGCTGTGCCCGGGTAGAATGCAGGAACTTAAGGAAAAAAGAAAAAGATATGGAATCATATGACATGCTGAGATGAAATGCAGAAAGTTGTATGAGATAGGAAAAGGACATGCAACGCCGTGTCAGATGCTGAAAAGAAGAAAAAAAAAAGAAACAGCCTCCAATCTGTCATGTTTTGAATGTTTTTTGTTTTTCTGTCTTCCACTTCCCTGAGGTGGGAGTTAAATGGTGAAAGAGTAAGTATAAAGGGAAAAAAAAAACAAAGGCAATGCAATCCAAATATTACAAAATATTTTCCAGTTCCGGCCTTCTCTATAACATGAGCCATCGATCATAACGTCTTTCGGAGTGGGGGAATCTCGTGGATTAAAAAGGAAAAATGGATAGGGCAGCCAGACAGGTGCTGGACTGCATGCGGTGGAGAGAGAGAGAGAGTATAAAGAACTTTGTGGTCGGAAACGATCGTGACGAGATTGATGAAATCGGGTCTCAATGTCGACCGGATATTTTAAGTCCCCTTAAGTGAGGGGAGCAGGTTTCCGTATTAGGGCCACAAGCATGAGTGCGGGGTTGCAGGGGATAGATTCGATTGCCCTAGGGAGTTCGAATGCATTATATGCTGCATGTGTTGAAGATCGGGCTGTGATGCACCGAAAGGGGGCTCATGAGGAGTCTGAATCGCAGTGATACGACTCGTCTTCGAATGGGTTGCGGACTATATCAATGCTTGTGGGCGGTGGTTGTCAGGCGCGCGTAGAACGGCTCATGCTACGTTCTGGGATTGAAGGCGGGGCGACTGGTGTGGGCGAGTATGAACGCGAGCCTCCCATTATGTCCACGTCGTGTTCTTGTAGAACGACGGAGTATTTGGGATCGCGCAGGAACTTGGGAACAGAGTCGCTTGACATCAGTTTGAAGACGGAAGTTTGAGCAAGCTCGAACAGGTGCACCACTTCTTGAAGACTCTTGAACATGGACTCGTCATCTCCCACGGCCTTGGTCATGCGACTGGCGAGACTGTTGCGGAGCGCGTGGTCGATGTTGAGCTCGCAGGGCGAACCGGGCGCCAAAAATGCGTTGTACAATCCATATGCTGCGGCCAAAGTTTCCCGCACTGAGTCCACTTTGTTAAATGTACCCATCTTCTCGGCCTTGTGATAGTTGGCAGTGAATTCTGAGACATCCAGGTAGAAAGACAAGTTCTCTTCACACAGCGAGTAGCGAAGGAATTCGCGGAAAAGCAAGCGCAGAGCGGGATCCTGAAGGATATGGGTCAATCGGGCGTTATTGGAATCGCGGGGCATTCCGCGACTGTCGTATGTCGTTGCAACCTCGCGGGTCTTCTCGCGCGCAATCCATCCACATACGCGCTGTCCACGCTCGGTAATGCCGTAAATGGCATACTTGGAAGGCTGGAAATGAGCGTTGGTTCCAACGTCTGGGAACTGCTTATCGTCTTGAATCATCGTAATCAGGCCGTACTTCAGGAACAGCTCGGAGATCAAGCAGGTCTCCCGGCGCTCAATGGTAGTCGAACAATCCATCAACCAGTCCACCGCGGCCTTTCCAGTGAAGGTGTTGCTATATACCTTTCCATCTAGAAGCTTGCGCTCCCGAGCCACCTTCACACCAACGAGGCCGTTGGTGTAATCACTCAAAGAGTCCGAATCCGAGGTTGAAATGCTGCTCTTCACGTTCGGGCCATCCTGACCAGCAAAGCGGCGGAAAATCACCTCGATGGTCGCACGATCATGGGACAGCTTATCGCTATCCGTGTCACGCTCTAGGTTCACCAGCTGCATGGTATTGCGCGGCGATTCTAGTACATCCATCACGTGACGGGCGGTAATTCCATTCCGCTGGCAGAAACGCTGCAGGATGTTGATTCCCTTCGGAGTGAGCTGGAAGAGGGCGCCCTTGAGTGGGAAGGTCATAACTGCTTTGCCGTCGACCGATTCAATGAAGCGCGCATCGACAAATCGCTGGCAGACGGATCGGGCCATTTCCTTGGCCATAGAGAAAGTGGTGGTTGTAGTGGTCGTGACAATGCGAGATGGGTCTTTTGGGTCAGGCATGCGGTTGGATTGGGAGAATTTGAGGGAGCCCAAGTTGTTGATGGCCTCTTCTGAGGTGAATGTGTGGTCATATCTTGTGAACCGAACGCGGTGCGAATCCAACTTCAAGCTGACCATCAATGTGGAGAACAAGTCCATGAAATCCTGCGCAAATCAGCCCAATTGTTCCAATGTCTCTTTTGTTTATATTTTAAACCTACCTTGGTGAAGGGGCGCTCATCTTCGGTCATGCGCAGTAACCTTGACGACGTCTGGTGCATCTTGGGTTCGGGCGGGGAAGGGCGGGTTTCGGGAGGTGTAGGAAGACGAATAGTCAAACGACGCTTTAAAAGCGAGTTAGGAAGATTGTCGACCAAAGCCGGAGAAGAAGGGCGCGAAGTTCCGGTCAATTGCTCGTAGGTGTCTCCGTCAAATGGTGGGGTCACAGGGGCGGAGAGCTTCGGTTTCGACAGACTACTGTATGAAGTTGAAGAACGTAGTGTAGTTCCAGATAAACTAGTAAAAGCGTGAGACGTTCTCTGAGCTAATGCAGCGAAAGAGCGTCGATTGCGCGAGGTAGAGCCGCCAAAATCAGAATTAGGAACTGAAGGAGAATCTTCTCGGCTGTGGCTCCCGGGTTGGGTTGGCATTGAATGGTTTTGAGTCTTTCGGGTTGAACCAGAGGGAAAAAAAAAAGTGGGTTATGCCAAACACCTGATACCGGAAAAAAACATGGGAATTCTGCAAAAAAAAAAAAAAAGGGAAATTCTTTTTTGTAAGAAAAAAAAAATAAAATAAAATAAAAAATAAAAAAATCTTTTTTTTATTAAGAGTGGACTAACTCTTCAAAGGTAAAACTGGGAAAAAAGGGTATGTAAGAAGGGGGGAACGAAGGAAATTATACACTACAATTTCCTGTTATTATTTTCGTTTCGAACAATAAGAAAAGAAAAGGAGTAAGAGAAAGATGGGTCTAAGGGGGGGGGAAGAGAGAACGGGAAGGGAAAATAATTTATTTTAAAAAATACAAATAGGAAAAAGAAAAGAGAAAGAGAAAAAAAAGAAATTTTTAAAAAAAAAGAAAATAAAAAAGAAATAGAACCATTCGGCCTGTCAGCCCATGATCCACAGCCACGCGTGAGCCCCGAAAGAGTTTGGCCTGCATCCAAATAACGTGGGCCATGAAGATCGGTGGGTTCTGGGGGGTATTATATACTCTTATTTCTATTTAAATACATACCTTCATACAGAGTAGATAAATATACAATATAGGGATATCTTAATATTATATGTAAATCTTGAATTATACTATGTATGGTCTACACATACTCCCTACTTCATAGTCTATTCTCATAGCTTGGGTAATTCCAAATAATGATGGAGTCAACCAGGGGGGAAAAAAACAATTAAAATGGATCATCTCTTCCGATGATTTCATTGATTCTTCCCGTTCCAAGGGCCGAATATATCCGCAGATCGTGATACCGTATCAGTAATACGGGTATGAATTTCAGTGAAATACCCAAGCCGTTTCATTGATCCCTGAGTCGCGACCCTTACTGACTTGGGACTAGGGCGCTGTTATTGATGTCATTCGGAGTATTAACGGAGATCCAAATCTTCATGTTATGCGCCTACATATCTATATTATCTATAACATATTTTACCTAAGTTTGATGCTCGAATGCTCTCCAAAACTTCTATAAAATCCATGTATTTCACTATTAATGCATAAGTATGCTGACAAAATAGCTATGTAAAGCTTGAGTCCACGTGGGGACCCTCGCACTTTGGAGCCTAAAACCCAATGTTTTATTGATATCGCATACCATGGAAGTCCTATTAACCTTATCGACTGGCAAACCCTTAGAGCAATCTATAGATATGACAACGGGGCTTTTTGGTGCTTATTCCCTAATATTGGCCCACTTCAAACCTGGTCGGAAAATATGTTGTGGATCATAAACGTTGGCTGTTGTACACGTGAATATCCGGACTTCTGCCGAAGAGGGGCATTACCTATATGTATTACCTATTTACATCATATGGATTCCAGGCAATCAGAAACATTCTCATACACTGTATGGAGTACGAAGTGTCGCAATCGGAGGAACCCCCACTCTCTTCGATCGCCTAATGGTGGGGCAATCAGGGAACCTTGGAACGTTTTCACACTTCTCTGTTTTGTCTTCAAGTGTTTAGTCGTTTTAATTTGGCTTATCGGAAATAGGCCTAGATAATAAGACTACACTATATATTCTACAGTACAAATGAACGAGACGATAGGATATAATTGTTATCATCTATACTTTATACAAAGTTAATCATTCATAGTGGGGGGAGGGGTATTTCCATTTTGAGTACCTTGCGTGTAACCTGAAAATATCAAGGCGGTAAAGGGGAAAAAAAAAAGAAATAATAATCCAAATCTCCAGGCTTCCATGGCGATTCCAAGCGTCTTCTTTTCGTTTCGTGCGCATAACCCATGTGGTCCCACGTGGGCACACGTGGGGAGAGATGCTTAGCGTCTGACCGCCGAGGTTCCCCCTCTTACTACTTTGCGCCTAGAGGGAGGCGCAGTCTCGCGAATCCTTCCCCTGAATGCCCGGAATTACGGGGCTCTGGGGAACGCTATCGCTAATAAATTC